TTACTCCAGACAGATACTTTGGGGAAAACTTTACTTTACAGAAAAACAACAACTTTTCTTTGTTAAGCACAGAACTACCTGCAAAACAACCTCCGATAATTTCCAAGCATTAACCTCCTTGCAGTTCTCAAGCTGAGCTTTCAGAAGTGCACAGCATCAGCTGGAATTATTTCCTCATAGTGATCAATGGGAAAATACTTCAAGAATAAACTGAGTCTGGAGTATCTTTACAATTCCCTCTTGCTGTAGTGGTAGAGTTGTGTGAGCCACATGGATGATCAAAGTGATGGGACAGGGATAGAAGCAGTGATATTTGCAACAGAGTGAAAGTTGATGAGTTATGCTTTTTAAACACTTTTGCAGGAATCCATCTTTACGTTTTAAAAAGAAGTCTAAGCATAAATTATATGCCTTAAATAGTCTAATTTAGATTTATGTCCACATATCCTTCACATCCTCTCCAAGAATCTGTCTTAAAGAGACATTGTTGAATACCTCCACAGCTGTAAATCTGGACAGAAGTGTCCATAGGATCATAGAAACACAGAATGGCCTGGGTTGAAAAGAACCACAATGATCATCGAGTTTCAACACCCCTGCTATGTGCAGGGTCGCCAACCACCAGACCAGGCTGCCCAGAGCCACATCCAGCCTGGCCTTGAATCCCTCCAGGGATGGGGCATCCACAGCCTCCTTGGGCAACCTGTTCCAGTGCATCACCACCCTCTGTACGAAAAACTTCCTCCCAGTATCTAACCTAAACCTCCTCTCTCTCAGTTTAAGACCATTCCCCCATGTCCTATCACTATCCACCCATGTCCCGTGGTGGGAGACCAGTTTACAAAATCCTGGAGAACTACTTAACTCTAACCTCATGTTGGGATTTTTTAATGAGTCAATAACTTTAAAATACAAAAATAAGCTGGAACCAGGAACTGCTTAATTTGAATGCATTAAAAATAGTAAACTGAGAAGATGACAGTGAAAGATAAGGCCCCAAATGCTGTTTTAATAAATAATTTACCTTGAAATAATTTTGAGAAGATGAGGTGTTTGATGATTAAATGAATAATACTGAATTATATAAAAAAAAAGAAAAAAAAAAAGGCTCTATTTTCTGCAGTAAGGACAAGTAATCTCCTAAAGAACTCCTAAAGACTGGGAGGTGCATGTGTGTGGGGAGGAGGTATTCAGTAATTCTAACACACCATCCACTGGCTCACTGTGTTATCATCCACTGTTGGTCACTATAAGCATTCAGCAAATGGTGATGATATCAGTGGGTGCCACTGTTATCCCCATGGAGGAATTCAGTGACATGCTTTTGCTTCATGTGCACTTCTGTGTCAGATGCCATTTTGTCAGACTCCGCTGCCATTTGTCTCATGGCAACAAAATGTAATGCAATATTGGTGAGAAAGTTTTTAAAATTATTTATTTTAATTTATTAATTTCAACTTTTTATTGTTTTTACAACTTTAATTCTGTAAGGCCACTCTATTGAACATTTAAGCAAGGTGTGCTCTGATTTTACATCTGTGAAATAACACTTTTTCAGTAAAGTTAGCTTCCCATTTCCTGTTGATAAAGCATAGGCACAAAATTGGAAAAAAGAATCAACATCTGCTCTGTGGCCTCTATAAGGGACATCTATACTCTCTTTATCAATTCCAGCTCCAGAAACAGGCAGAACACTATGCAATATTGAATTCCCTCTGCATGTGAACTTTGCACGCTCCAGTGCTCTGTGGGTTAGGGGTTTTTTTCACCACTATTTTAAGGAATTTGGCTAAGAGGAAATCAACTGATGTTGGCTAGACACAGTTGTTAGGAGACTTCTGAACTGAATAAAGGATCTGGCAGTGGTATTTGATGAACATTACTGCATGCAGGAACTAACATGGGAGGCCAGAGGAAAGTTGGGGCAGGAGGGCAGAAAATACATGGAAGAAGTTTCTGGGGAAAATAAGAAAGACAGCTGTGAAAGAAACTGGGACTGAGAGAAGAAAGGTAGCAAAAGAGGTCAGACAAGGAGATAAGCAGGTGGGGCCTGAGCAAGTAGAGAGTGGATCTTGTGTTTAGTAAATAAAGGAAGCAGGACAGAGGGAGATGAATCAACAGAGCAGGATCAGATTCCCTCATCAGGTGAAACCATGCTGTGTCACAGAGCATGGCTTAGGGAACCAATATTCCCATCTTTAGAAGATATCAGAGGAAATTATTTGCGTCTTGACATTTTTGGCATCTTGACATTTTTGCTCTCCACCTACAAATGATCCTGTTAGCTCAACCAGCTGTTGTGTGTGGTGAACTCAGGCCACTGATGAATTATGGGGATTTTAATATGACAGTATGGAGAGGAAATTCTGGAAGAACCTGCAGGTATTCTTGCTTAGGCTGTGGAAATTCTAATTCAGAGTTACAAACGCTTTGCTTTGACCTGACTCTGTGACTGCCCGAGTACCCAGCAGGGCCCTTCTTGTTCTCTGCTGAGAGCAGAGCTCCCAGAATATTTTGACTAGGCCAGACACAAAAGCTCAGAGATTCCAGTGTTTTTTGTTGTTGTTGTTGTTATTGTTGTTTTCTTCTCTTTTTTCTGGTAAGGAACAAAGCCTTATTAACATGGCCTTTTACATAGACTTGTGATTGTGCAAAGCAGAACTGGATAAGATAACTATGTAAGAAGGAACAAACCATGTGTGGATTGATGTTCAACCGGTGGCTCTAACTATGTGAAAGATCTGGGGTAAGCACTTTTCTTGGCAGGAGAATCCAGCCTTCTTGCTGTAGAGAGGCTCAGTGACTCAAGAACCACGGAATGTTCTTTCAACGCCAAGGTAAGGACAAATATTACTCATGTCCTAAAAAGAGCACAACCCCTTCCTTTCAGGGGAGGTGAGCGTCTGAGCATGCATGTGCTTTAATCTTTATTGCTCCAAGCAGAAAACATTCTCCAGAAGCTGACAGATACAGTGAGAAGCAGAGATGTCAACAGGGACAAAAAGGGCACTCAAAAGTCCAGGAGGGGAAAACTGGGAATCAAGGTAGCTAAAGACAAAGGTATAATCCTAAATGTTTCTTGTCATCATGTCAAAACAATCATTTACAGTTCTGCTGTAGTGTTGCCCTGTCATTCAGATCAGAGATGAATTAGCAGAGGTCTGTGACCATAGCCTTGGGAAGGTCTTGTCCTCTGCTACCTTGTATTTGAGACCAGCATGTAAATACAAAAAGACATGTTTTGTAACAGCCTTTTAATGCAAGTCTTTCAAGAGAAAGATTAGTGAAGCCAGTACTGGTGGCATATAGCTTCTCACTCACAGCCTTTCTGCCAGGGCCTAGGACTCAGTCTGGCTCTGGCTAAGGCACTCCTTTGTCCTTTCACATTTGCATCTGTACCAACTAATGTACTGCAGTGTGGTATTGTTAAATGCTTCCAACCTGTGTAACAAAACACAATGAGACACAAAAATGATTCCTTGACACAAAAACGATTTCATTTCCTCACACTTACCCTCTCATATTCACAAGGACCAGGAAGTTCAGATAGTTTGGCCAGAGCTACTTGTGGTGACCTGGAGGACGTGTCCCCATAATGTGTTCTGAGTGTGCTGCGTTCTCCTGATGGGCATACTTGGTGATTGGATGTGTCTTTCATGTTAAAAATTTGGCACTAACACATCTTATGTGCCCCTAAGCCATAAGGCAACAGTGCTGATGTACCCTCACGTCTTCCCTGGGGGCTGTCTGCCATTTCTTTCTCTGCGTGCCTTGAGGAGCCGCATGTAGATGTGCTGTGGTATCAGTGACTGCTGAGTGATAGTGGCAGCACACGCCATTCTTCAGCTTCCTCTGCCAACACACTTCCATCTGCGCTGATATTAGTGTTTCTGTTACAAATATTTCCACTCCCACCTCTCATAAACCCTTGACTTCTGCTGTCCCACCTCATTTCCCATATGTGCCAGTGACTTAAGTAGCAGGAGCTTTACTTCCTTTAGGTTAGAAAGTTTGTTCTCTGTTTTTGTATGCAATCTAAGGGCATTTTGTGTTGATGACAGGTAATGGATTTTTATTTTGAGGCCAGAAGACTCCTACAAGAATCACAGAATCATAGAATCTTTAAGATTGGAAAAGACCTTAAGATCAAGTCCAACCATCAGTCCATCACCACCATGACCACTAAACCATGTCTCCCAGTGACCCATCTCCACGTTTCCTGAATACCTCCAGGGACGGTGACTCCACCATCTCCCTAGGAACCCTGTCCCAATGAATAGCCGCTCTTTCAGAGGAGAAATTAGTCTAAATATCCAACCCGAACCTTCCCTGGCACAACTTGAGGCCATCACCTCTTGCACTATCACTCTTACCTGGGAAAAGAGACTTGTAGAGAGTGCTAAGATCACCTTTGAGTGTCCTCTTCTCCAGACTAAACAACCCCACTTCCCTCAGACACTCCTCATAAGACTTGTGTTTCAGACCCTTCACAGCTTCGCTGCCCTTCTCTGGACACGCTCCATGGCCTCAATGTCTTCATTGCAGCGAGGGGCCCAAAACTGAACACAGCACTCGAGGTGAGACCTCACTGGTGCTGAGTACAGAAGGACAATCACTTTCCTGCTCCTGCTGGCTGCACTATTTCTGTTACAACTCAGGAAGCCATTGGCCTTCTTGACCACCTCGGCACACTGCAGGCTTTGTTCAGCCAGCTGTCAACTAACACCCTGAGATACTTCACCTCTGTGCAGCTTTTCAGCCACTCTGCCCCAAGTCTGTAGTGATGCATGGGGTTGTAGTGACCAAAATGTAGGACCCAGCACTTGGTGCTGTTAAAGCTCGTACAACTGACCCCACTCCATTGATGTAGCCTAAAGTATGGTATCAAATTGCGAAGCTGGTTGTTAGGATAAAAGCCTTAATTCTTTCAGTATTCAGTATCCAAAAAATGAAATAAAATTGCAGTTGTTTTCCCCATCATTTGTTGAGACATGGCAGTAAAAGAGAGGCTGCAACCACAAAGATAATAAGAGCACTAAAATCAATTGCAGTTAACAGGACGGTGCAGTGCTCTCCTATGGCCCCAGTGAGGGCAGGGGTGGCTCAGCCCCTGAACTGTGGTCAACTGGGTTTCGAACTGTGGAACTGTGGATCATTATACAGCCGTTTTCAAAGTTAAAAAGGTCTGAGGAATACATAGGTTCTGAGGTCTCCTGACTGTGGCTTAATTTTACTTTTTATGGCGACGTATATAAAGAGCGATGCTTAACAATTATTTTTAAGAGACATATCCCTTTAAGTAGGTATGCATTATTTTTCTTACAACGGGTCTTAGGAACCGAGGTCAGCGTGAACTCCTTTCAGTGGCACAGTGACACTAACGGCAGCCCGGGCGGAGGGCACGGACCGCCAAGCCGCCAGGCAAAGCCGAGCGCTTCCGCAGCCGGAAACCCGCGCGAGTGCGGAAGGGGTGGGGAAGAGAGCGAGCTGCGCATGCGCCGCCCTACGGCCGCCATTCAGCTGTTGGGCGGCACGCGACCCTCCGCCCTCGCGCGCACCGTGTGACGTCGCTGAGGAAGAAGCCGCCGTGTCGGAGGCGGCAGATTCGCCATAATCCGCCGCTTGGCCAATCTCACCCCCCACCGTCTCCATCGATCAAAACATATATATATTTTTATAAGGAGGAGCGGCACGGCACATGTGAAGCCCAGCCTGCTGGTGCGAAAGTGTTCTTTTTGTGTGTTTTTTTTTTTTTTTTTTGACAACGCCGCCGCGCTTCGCTTCCAGCCAGCTCTCCCGCTGCCCCTCAGCCCCAACCCCGCCGCGGTTATGGAGGCTGCGGCTGCAGGTGAGCAGCGCCGTGCCGGGGAGGGCGGCGGAGCGCGCGCGGAGCTGTTAGCGCTGAGGCAGGGCGAAGTAGTTCCGGCCTGCGTACCGCGTCATCGCCATCCGCGCGCGAAGTAGTTCCCTCAGCAGGAACGGCCGCCGCTCACCGCTCAGCACAGCGCGGCGGGAGGAGGGCGGAGAGGCGCCGCGACCCGCTGGGCTGCGCGGCCTGCGGCCCGAGCTGCGGTGCCTGCACCGGGAGTGAGAGCGGCCGCGGTGCTGGGCTCGGGCGGCGGGAAGCGGCCGCCTTGGTGCGTGAATGGTTAAAAGCGAAGCTTCTGATGCGCTGTCAGCTCAGCCCCTCGTGTGCGGTATAGTCTCCTGGCTTTTGTGGCGATTAACATGAAAATAAAATGACGCAGACGGGACTGCCCTGATAATGTGTGTGTGCTGTTTCACAGTGCCTTGTTTCTTGTAGTACGAGCTGGTGATGTTGCAAGATTTAACATTGTATTCCTCTATACTGAAATGTGGCCCTTGGTTCACTGAGATGATTCCCAGACCTCCCCTCCCATTCAGGAGGAAAGAGGTACTGTCACAAACCCGTGGGGCCGGATGGGATCCACTCAGGAGTGCTGGTGATTGCTGAGCTGCTTCCCTCTGTCTGTCAGCGCTCCTGGTCAGCCAGAGAGGGCTTAGAGGACTGGAGACTTGCTAATGTGACAGCTGTCTACAAGAAGGGTCCTAAGGATGATCTAGGGAACTTCACACCTGTCAGCCTGACCTCAGTGCTGGGGAGGTTATAGAACAGATCATTTTGACTGTGACAATGCAGCTGGTGTGGGACAACCTGGGGATCAGGCCCAGCCAGCACAAGTTCATGAAAGGCAGGTCCTGTTTGATTTCCTTTTATGACCGGGTGGCCTGCCTAGAATGAGGGAAAGGCTGTGGGTGTCGTCCACCTACACTTTAGTAAAGCCTTTGATTCTGTTTCCCATTGTATTCTCCTGGAGAAGCTGGCAGCCCATGGCTTAGACAGATACACCCTTTGCTCGGTATAGAACTGGCTAGATGGCCAGGCCCAGAAAGTGGCAGTGAATGGAGTTAAATCTAGCTGGTGGCCGGTCATGAATGCTGTTCCTCAGAGGTCAGTATTGGGCCCATCCTGTTCAATATCTTTATTGACAATCCGGATGAAGAGATTGAGTGCACCTACGTTAAATTTGCAGATGAAATCAAGTTGGGGGGAAGTGCCAATCTGCTTGAGGGAAGGAAGGACATGGATGAGTTGGATTGATGACCTGAGGCTAGTCGTGAGCTTTACCAAGACCAAGTGTCAGATCCCATGCTTTGGTCACAGAGACTTGGGGCAGAGTGGCTGAAAAGCTGCACAGAGGTGAAGTATCTCAGGGTGTTAGTTGACAGCTGGCTGAACAAAGCCTGCAGTGTGCTGAGGTGGTCAAGAAGGCCAATGGCATCCTGAGTTGTAGCAGAAATAGTGCAGCCAGCAGGAGCAGGAAAGTGATTGTCCTGTACTCAGCACCAGTGAGGTCTCACCTCGAGTGCTGTGTTCAGTTTTGGGCCCCTTGCTGCAATGAAGATACTGAGGCCATGGAGCGTGTCCAGAGAGGGGGGCAGTGAAGCTGTGAAGGGTCTGAAGCACAAGTCTTATGAGGAGTGTCTGAGGGAAGTGGGGTTGTTTAGTCTGGAGAAGAGGACACTCAAAGGTGATCTTAGCACTCTCTGCAAGTCTCTTTTCCCAGGTAAGAGTGATAGGGCAAGAGGTGATGGCCTCAAGTTGTGCCAGGGAAGGTTCGGGTTGGATATTTAGACTAATTTCTCCTCTGAAAGAGCGGCTATTCATTGGGACAGGGTTCCTAGGGAGATTGTGGAGTCACCGTCCCTGGAGGTGTTCAGGAAACATGGAGATGTGTCACTGGGAGACATGGTTTAGTGGGCATGGTGGTGATGGACTGATGGTTGGACTTGATCTTAAGGTCTTTTCCAACCTTAATGATTCTGTCAGGTGTGCTCCAGAAATCAGGTTCAGAGCCTTGCTGCCTGAGCCACCCAATATGATTTTGTTATGTCTGGTGATGCAGGTAAAGGATTTTTGTGTTAACTGCTGTATTGTTGCATTTATCCACATGAGGGCGATGTTACAACATTGAAAAGGTGAAGTTTTCATGTGAGCGTAGGTATCTCTGTTTTTTTAATGATGAAGCTTTTTTTTTTCTTCTCTTTTCTTTTGATAAGTTGATTATTGTCAAGTTCTGCTGTAAAGCTAATTTCCTTATTTTGTCAGGCTTTTCATTTAAAACCATTTGTAGAGAAGGCTTTTTTGTTGGCCTGAACTAGTTATTAGAACCCCTCTTTTAATCCAGTTCTGAAGCTCGTGTATTCAGGTATGTATGCAGGCAGTATCTTTTGAAGAACTTCTACAAGTGCTTCTGTAAAGTTACATAAATCTAGTGTGAGTAAGAGGAAAAAAGACAGACTTATCTGTCTTCCTTAGCTAAGCACCAATTAATTAAGCACCAGAGGTCAGCTTTCTTTTGCCAATGGAGTCTGCAAATCCCGTGCCTTTGGTACTGTGAGAGTGGAAGGATGCACTTCAGGTAGAGGAGGGAGATGAAGGCCTGGTGCCTTTTCCCTCCTGGACTGGCTTCATCACATGTCATGATGCAGGTTCTGCTTTCTGGTGATGAGTTAGACAACTCCAAAGCAAGTCCACACAGTGTGGAATACTCAGTATTTGTGAATTTTCAAAGGTACTGTCTTCTGTTGGTGAAAGAATAAAAGATTTGAATGCTGTAGCAACAGAATTGTGTTAAGGGCTGCATTTGTGTTGTGTGCTATCGCTACCCACCTTTGAGTATGATGCTTTTAAATAATCTTCACGCTGCTTTCAAGGATTTAACTTTTTAGAATGCTTTTTGTTGCTTGTTTTTCTTCTGTTAAAGATGCTTTTAATCTTTATGTAGTTCACGTTGTTAAACACAAACATTTGACTTTCTGTCACTTCTGTAGAGGATTTTTGAGTAGTACTTGAGTTGTTATTGCAGAACAAGTCTCAAGTAGGGTTCCATTGAACGTGGTCCTGTTTTACTTCTGATAATGTCAAGAACTGTTCTCTGATTATTTCTCTGATTATGTGCTGGGTGAAGTAGCTGTTGATGGTGTCCAAACATTTAATTTTCTTATTGTATTCTGACCTGACATTTAACCAGTTTGCATAGGGGTAATTGAAACCTAAATTGTGTTGTTTGTGTCTCTGTAACATCTCCTGCAGTGTGTCAGTCGTTCTTACTCTCATACTCAGGCTGTTGCTAACACATCCTAATGCTCCTCTGTGCACAGGGTGTGCGTTTAGGTCTTCAGAGATTCTGCTGCTTTTTGGCAAAGTCTCTTAATAGGATTTGGCCCTAAGCTTCCCCTAACAGGCAGCACTGCCTCACAAACAGTGCATCCTGCTTTTTTCCCTTCTGCTTTATATTTTGCATTATCCCACTGGTGTTAGAACAGTATTTTTCAGAATCTTGTTTGGATGCCTGTCAGTCAGTAGCCTTGTTTATGGCTCAGCATTCCGGTTCTGACACCTTATTAGGCTTGTTGAGTTATTGTAGTAGCGTGTCAGTTATTTTTTGAGGCAGCTACAAAGAAATGAGAAACAAAAAGAGCGGTTTGTCTCAACTCTGTGCTCTTTGTTGTCTCCCGTTGTTTCTGTCTCACCTTTCATTTGAAAATAGTCCTTGTGATTTATCTCTTCAGGGTGAGTCACCTTGATCTGCGTGGTGTGTCACACTTGCCACCTACCCTTAGCATCTTCTGTTCAGAACTTTTCCATAACCCCTTACATCTTGATTGAGCCCATTGGAGCCCATCACTTCTTGTTGTTTCATCCTCGACTTGTCGTGTTCCCTTAGGCACAGATGGAGCTATCAGCACAGCTCACAGCAGCGCTGTCACATAGTTGTGTTCTAAATGGTTGATAGCACCAGCTTAAGTTGTGCCTTTTTACCCAGTTTCTGTTTTCTCTGTTATAATACATTCGCAGTGTATCATTTGTACATGAAGCTTGTTTCTTACCTAGAAACTCCAACACCCTCATTGTAATTTACTCTGAAACCCCGCACCTCTCTGTAGCATCTGGCAAACTCAATAGAAGTATTTAACCCAGGAAAGTAAGCTTGAGGTCCTTTTAGAAAAAGATTCTGAATAGATATCATCAGGTTTTATTTAAAATGATATTAATTGGAATTGATTTTAGCGTGCTTTAATTTTTTCCAGGAATGTGTCCTTTATCAACATTTCCATAATTTTTTCTCTTAGGCCAAAATGAGAAACGTTTGTGATATTTAACAATCAGTTCCATGGGCAGTTAGCAGCTCAGTTCAATTAACATTAGTTCAGTTAGTAGCTACAAGCTGGGACGATCAGGTGCTCCTTTTGTTTAGACTGCCCGTGTCCTGCTGTGCGTTTGTCTCTGCGGTCACCCTGTGCGGGAGAATTAATCGAGTTCACATTCAGGTGAAAGAAGCCCTGCAATAATATTCTGTTCTCTCGGCCTGCTGCTTCTGCTGCAGTTGTTAGTTTTGAACATAGGTGCTGTTAGGCTGAGCTGCTGTGAGCCATTTGCAGGGGGAGTTATTGAGATGCTGCTGCTCTGGTGTTAGCAAGCAGTGGGAGATTTATTTATGTGTTTCTAATGAGTATAATGCTTTTTGGCTTTAGATATGCTGTATTTCACCCCTGATGTTTGATGAATCAAAACGCAGAAAACAGCAGGGAACTGATTCATTGATTGATTTTTTTTCAACTCTATCAAATGAAGATAAATAAAATTATTATATACCAATGCCTTTATTAAAATGATAACTAAAACGCTATAAGGTGAAGGAAGAGGTCTAGTGAATAAATCTGTGGCAAAATACAGCTTTTTTTGAGGCTAAAATGTATGTAATCAAAACTTAGGTTCATTTAGAGATTCTTTTTTAGGATAGAAAAATGCAGCTGACAGTT